GCAGCTTCAGCCTGAGTGGGCGTGCAGATATATATATATATATATATATATATATATAGTGGATTCGCAGATCTTTCCTTCAACAGCCGTAAGCCTCAGAACGCAACCACGGACGCGCACTGTACTTTATCTTCTAGAATGGTATTTTCTTACCCGTAGCACTCGCGCGGGTACGTGGGCCATCCGATGAGTTAGTGGCTGAGCCTGAGGGGATGTCCTTTCGAGTGCTGCCTTCTCGTGTCAGATCGTTTGCGTTGACAGTCATGAACAGCTGCTGCTGCGATGTGTGGCCGTACGCGGCACCCGCCCATATGAACATCGATGTCATCGCAGCAAAGCTTAAACTCACTACCTGGGTGTGTGGATGGCGTGTGGGAGTGGGTACTAAGTGAGCGTATTGTTGGAGTACGCCCGGGAGTGACATACATACATGTTGTCTGAGAATGCCGCAGAATTGGTGTACCATGGTGATACAGAAAGATTGGATATAATGCCATTTCATTATATATAGCAAAACTCAATCTACACTACAATGGATCAATCTCCTGTGCAAGAGTATTCGGCATCAGATCCCTGACATGTTAGCACAGACCAATGGAACCCATAACCCCGTAACTCAGATTGATTCGTGCGTGGATACCGTGTTGCCCTTGAAGAACAGCAGAACTGAGGCTACGCCAGTCACTGCAGCGGCGAAAAAGCACACCACTGACCGGCGCGCTGCCAAGTACGCAGCAACTGTGTGGGCAGCACTGGACACATGGTCCCTTTGTTTGCCTAGTTTAGAAACGTTCTCAGGAGTGGAATTGATCTGAGAGGTGGTGTGGGAATGAAGTTCATGTGACAGGTGAGATGAGTGTGGGCTGAATTATCGCTGATGGGAGTGTATGGATATGGGTATAGGGATAAGAGTTCGTGAACAGGCACTGGGAACATCAATGCGTGGTTGACTACGTACTTGTAATATGTGGTGAGTTCACCTGGTAGCAAGGAGGAAACGACAAGTGATGGACTTAAAATTCGATACGTACATATACAGATGTGTGGGAACTATACGCAAAGAGTGTAGCAGAACACACGCTTACATATAAAATAAAACAAACACTGTTTACACACACATACGTCGT